CTCTATAATTGTGAGAACTTATCCTTTATAATTTCTATGTGATTTCTAGTAAATTGCAAGTATAAGCTATCATTGATACCATTTGGTATCAGAGCACTCAAACCGATTCCATGGGAGGAGCGTCCAGGGAAGCAGCAGCCGTGAAGAAGGTGGAGGATCAGGTGGGGTTGATGCAAGTTCAGCTCCAATCACACGGGACTGAAATCCAGGGAATGAGAGCAAGGATTGACGATATCCTCCAAGGTCAGAGCCACACAAACCAAAGACAGGATGAGATGCAAACAACCCTGGACAAGGTTTTGGAGAAACTGGATGTTATGGCCGGAGCACCCGAAGGAAGAAACCAACCCCCTTACAATCCATCAAGCCATTCGACACCCACAGGTCCATCGATGAACAAAAATAAGGGACCGGCAAGCTTAGTGATCATCGGTTCAGGACCAGGCGGCTCGAATCCAAGCGGCGAAGGAGCACCGAGCGGGCCCGGAGGAAACGGTATTGTTTTTGGCTCTCTCTTCCAAACAAACAACAACACGGGGGGTGGAAGATACGAGTTCCGACACAGAAAGATCGACATGCCACAGTTTGATGGAACGGATCCAGACGGATGGATTCTTCAAGCGGAGCGTTACTTCGCCATTTACCAATTGTTGGATGAAGAAAAGATAACTGCGACAGTTCTTAGCTTGAGCGGGGATGCTCTGGCCTGGTTCCGGTGGACCAATCAACGGGAGATAATGAACTCGTGGTAGGAAATGAAGGAGGTTTTCTTGAAAAGGTTGCGTCCCATCCATGGGGGGGATTTATACGAACAATGGGCAGCTCTGAGGCAAACCGGGACGACGGAGGAGTATGTTCGAAGGTTCATCGAGTTGTCGGCCCCATTGGAAGGGGTAACGGAACGCGTCGCCATGGGAAATTATATCGATGGGCTTCAAGACCACATCAAAACGGAGCTCAGATTATGGACCCCAGACAACTTGGGCCGCACCATCGACTTAGCCCAACAGATCGAAGAGAGGAACCGGTCGCTTTTTGCTAGCGGGTTCGGGTCGTTCATCAATCTGGGTAACACCAGAAAGGTTAGTGGGGCAAACCTGAATCACTCCATTTCTTTCTCACAACTTGATTGATCGATGGGGAAACCACGACTCCAACGCTCCCTCACTGAAGCTCAGATAAAAGATAAGAGGAATCGAGGAGTGTGCTTCCGTTGTGACGAACGCTGGTTCAAGGGTCATGTGTGTAAATCCCAGGTGAATGTCATCCTCGTAGATGAAGAGGAACCGCTCGTCGAAGACCCTTAGGAAGCAACCGACCCTGCTACCTTGGTATTTACAGAGGTTCGTCCAGAAATCAAAGTGTCACTTAACTCAGTAGCGGGATTGTCGTCTCCAAAGACGATGAAGGCCTGGGGAGCCATTGGGTCCCAACCGGTGGTAACCCTAATCGATCCCGGGGCCACTCACAATTTCATTGCATCTTACTTGGTAGCTTCTCTCGGCATTCCGGTTGACGAGACTGAACCCTACGGGGTAAGGATGGGGACAGGAGACAGTGAGCGCGAAACTGGTGTCTGTAAGGGAGTGGTTTTGCACCTCAAGGAATTAGACATCACAGAAGACTTCCTCCCCCTGAGGTTAGGCAGCTCTGGCGTGATATTGGGGACACAATGGCTTGAAACTTTGGGCGTGACTAAAACCAATTGGAAGGAGCAAACAATGAAGTTTGAGGTGAATGGGAGAACGGCCTGGATCGAAGGTGACAAGTCGCTCGGTAAGTCCCTGATTTCTCTGAAGGCCATGGCAAGAACCTTGAGCAAAGATCCTCATGGATACCTAATTGAACTCAGCAACACCGAGTACCAGGTTATACCACCGGATCCTGTGCCCTTATTCTTACAAGACATCTTGAGCCAATTCGAATGTCTATTCTAAGAACCCACAGGATTACCACCACCACGAGCCATGGAACACAAAATCATAATCAAGGAGGGTACTGCCCCGGTGAGTGTCCGCCCTTACCGGTACACCCATTATCAGAAGGGCGAAAGAGAAAGAATGATCAAAGAGATGCTTCAAGCCAAGGTGATACAACCCAGTAATAGCCCTTACTCTAGTCCCGTGATTTTGGTTAAAAAAAAGATGGCTCATGGCGTTTCTTCATAGATTATCGAGCACTAAACAGGGTTACAGTGCCCGAAAAATTTCCCATTCCTGTAATTGATGAGCTGTTGGATGAGTTACATGGTTCAACTGTCTTCACTAAATTGGACCTCAAGTCCGGGTACCACCAAATAAGGGTAAGGGAAACGACGTGCCAAAAACGGATTTCCGAACACACGATGGGCATTACGAATTTCGGGTAATGCCATTCGGCCTCACGAACGCCCCAACAACATTTCAAGCCTTGATGAACGACATATTCCATCCCTTCCTCCGGAAATTCATCTTGGTATTCTTCGATGACATTTTGATCTACAGCCCCGATGAGAAGCTACATCGCATCCATGTCACAACAGCCTTGGAGAAACTGAAAGAGCATCGACTGTTTGTCAACTACAAAAAGTGCGAGTTTGGGAAACAACGACTATCCTATTTGGGGCATGAAGTGTCGACTGATGGGGTATTGGCAGAAGCAAACAAGATTCAAGCAATGTAGGATTGGACCACCCCAACAAATCTCAGAGGGTTGCGAGGGTTCTTGGGGCTCACGGGATATTACAGAAAATTCGTAAAGGGTTATGCCCATATCGCCAAGCCACTCACAGAGCAACTGAAAAAAGACAAATTTGGATGGAACCCCGACGCCGAAGAGGCTTTCCACCTCCTCAAAAAGGCCATGACTACCGTTCCAGTGCTGGCAATGCCCGACTTCAACTAGACCTTCGTGGTGGAAATTGATGCTTCAGGGTATGGACTGGGGGCGGTCTTGATGCAAGATCAACGCCCCATCGCTTACTACAGCTCTACCTTGGGAGCAAAGGCCCAACTGAAATAGATATACGAAAAGGAGCTCATGGCAATCGTGATGGCAGTCCTTAAAGTTGTTATTGCTTTTCCACGATTATGGTAGTGGAATGGAAGATTCTTCCGGAGGAGGGCAGTATCAGCTTTTTGTCTTTTGTTCCAGGCTTCTTATATAAGTCCTGATGTCTCTTTGTTTTGGGGTATGTTGAAATTTAATGAAAAGTTCTCTATGAACTCGGGAGAGCACTCACCTCTATAATTGTGAGAACTTATCCTTTATAATTTCTGTGTGATTTCTAGTAAATTGCAAGTACAAGCTATCACCCCGCAACGTCAAGGTTGGAAGGGGGAATGTAATTCTTGATTATCGAGGTGGTACCACCATCGACCCCATCACCCTCCACCACCTACCCCCACTATCACCACCGCCACCCCCATCCACCTACCGTCACCGTCACCACCACCATTACCACACAACATATAGCACTTAAAACTGGCGAAACAGTTGTGGTGATGATAAATAGCTTGAATTTAACATCAAACAAAGAAACACATCCATCATCAATTCGAATTTACATTTTTACTTTTCCTTTCTTTGAGAACTAATCCAATGCTTTCTTCTTTGAAAGTCAAGGAAGGTAATTATAAAAATTTAAATATACATTTTCAACATCCAACAAAAATAGATAAACGGGATACCATTCATAAAAATAAATAACTAATATTCAAGACAAAACCATTTTATAGAGAGTGCAAACCTTATATTATACACAAAACACATACATATATAGACAAATACAAAGTTACAAAGCACATATACATACAAAGAAAGATCATGGGCGGTTATCACTTAAAAAAAAAAAACTTTGAAACTAAACAAATAAAATCATGTTAGTTAGTTGTCAGATCAAAGAATTTTGGTAAATTAAAATTCAGCTTAAGTAACTAAAACCGAGCAAAAGCATCATCTAACTCATTGCTTTTTCCTATTCAGAGAAAAGAATGTGATTTGATCATTTAGGGGTAAAGCCATGGAAAAGACAAAGTTTATGAGTACATATCGGCTTCTTCTCTAGGTTTGGTTATTTTTTAAATTTTTTTCTTGTTCATAAAACCTGGAACCAAATAAAAAGATAGGCAGTGAAAAAATAAACTGAGTAAGAAAAAGGAGAAAGGACTAATGGAGGAAAAAGCTAATAAGTGATCTACTCATTTTCATGGTTAATCAATCCAACACTTTCATGGGGTCCTTCCTCCTCCTTCTGTCTCAGACATAGTCAAAATCTTCAAGTTTAGACAAAAAGACCATATCATTTAGTAGACCTGCAATAATATAACCGAGTATTTAATGTGAGTATATATAAATACTTAACAATATTAAAATCAATCCTAATCTAACTAAAATTGTAGCTTCCAGAAAATCAAAATTAGATTAGTTTGCACTTTTCTCAATCCACATTAAAAATTCAACCTAGACTATTCACCAAAAACTATGTTATCAATTACTTTGAAGAAGAAGCAAAACGAACCCAACGTTGATTACCCTTCCAGCAATTATAGATTAATGTGACAATTGATTCCAATTACAACAATAAATATCATATACATTTGAAAAGCAGAACATTTGTGAAAGGTGAAGAACCACTTGTGAATAATTTATATTTGAATGAGATTCTTCTTATTTTTATTCACATAAGTTTGAGTTAATCACACATTAAGTGCATTAACAGAGCAGATATCCACATACTAACAAACAAAAAGAACTTATGACAACATAAAAGAATAGTAGGTGTAGCAGGGATACCTATTTGACAACAAAGTTTAGGAAAATATCTCCAATACCAAAAGCTAGAAGATGATGTAAGGCAATACTTGCAACAACCTACCAAAAGATGGTTCAAAAGGGTAAATGATAACATAAAAAGATTTGAAGTGCAATTATCTGCCCTTTCAGGCATATTAACAAACACCTTGCATGCTAAAACCAACAGAAGATCCAAAAACGATTTGTAGTAACTCCTTTGAAAACATTCATCTAATCAAGCTCCGTCTCAGAATCGGGCTAAAACCCCAAAAGAAATTTGAACCTACGGTTAGGAGAGAGGGAACACCAGACAACTGAAGCATAAGAAAGTGAAACACGGAAGAACAAGAAAGCTAAGAAACTAAGTTGACACTTACCTGGGTTCGTACTTACCTGATATCGTTGCTTTGGTATTGAAATGAGATAACACTTGACAATTGAAAACTGAAGTTGGAACATGGAGACCAGGTTACCTCAACACAGATGTTGAAATCAAACAACGCCATCAGAAGAAGTAGAAGAGGGCAAAAAATAGGCAACTGAATATTGAAATTGGAGCAACTTTGTTCATGGAGGTCGGAATCCCCACTTCAAATATCAGATAGAAGTTACCAAGAGTACAAATAAAACCCAAACTTTCACCTCCATCTCAACCACCGCCAAATCACTGGGCAAATAAATCGAAATCAAAGCGAAATTTGCTCATATATAATTAAAAGCGAATTCTTTCAATCGATTTCTAAATAATTAAGAAATCTTGGTAACATCGAGTAACTGACCTTGCAAAGAAGATTCATATGAGAAAATTATGTGGATTTGATAGCCATCGGAGGTGGAGACGGTGTGAATATGGTAGAAGCAGGTACCGATTGGCAATGGTGTTGGACGATGATTGTGGGCGGATGATGGAGCGGTAAGCGATGAAGAGAGCTGGCATCAATTTCCAATCAATTTAGTGGCAGTGGGAAAGGAAGCGGTGGAAGATGGAAAGAAGCGTGTAATCGAAGCGGGTGTCGTCTGAAATCAGCAGCCAGGTTGTGATCATCCTTCCCCTTTTGTTGATGGTCGTCGGACATCGATGGAGATCAGAGGAAGTGAGAGCGATTGAAGTGAATGGCGGCGGATGAAGGAAAAAAAGGATTCTGTGAGGAAATAGGAGAGATACGGTGGGGATCGAAAGCACAGTTGAAGAAAACGGCTTGAAAGCATATGGTATTCAGATATCGAGGCATCGGTGGTGGTGGGGTGGTGGAGTAATGCTATTGAAAAATAGAAACGGTGAACGACACTCTATTGAGAAAAGGCAGTCCGTGGAAGGAGAAAATAACACGTGGAAAATAAAATAAAAAAATTAAAAATAAAAATCAGAAAATATAATAAAAAAATGTAGGGGCTAAAGTAAAAACTGATCCACAAATTAGGACAAAAATGAAAACAGAAATTAAATGGCCAATTTTGCAAATACCTTAGCCACTAATCTCTTTGTTTGTTATTATAAAAAATAAAATGAAATTAAACATACAATCATTAAAAAAAATTAAATAAAAAATTTATTTAGCTTTAATCATATTCAAATCGAATATAAAGATCATTGTTATAATATGATTTTTAAAAACAATTATATAAAATAATTAAACGTAATAATTGCAAAATAACAATAAATAAAATTATAAATTTTGCGAACAATATTTTCATTTTGTTAAACCTTAGATGATGATTATTTCTTCGGTTAACTTCAACAGATTTAATAATTTTAGTGATTAACTTTATAATTTATTAATATTTAGTTATAAACAATGTAACAAAAAAATATTATATGAAACATACCAAACGGTTTTAAATTATATAAATAATACTTGAATTGTTTATAATATCCTTTATAATATTATTAAAATAATAAAAATTTAAAAAAAAAATCATGTTGAATAATATACTTTAAAGTAAAGTGAGAACCGGTTTGAAAAGGAAGGTCAAGTGATGCGCTGCATAAAACACACATCAACTTTTAAGTCGGAAGTCTTTTAGAAAACAAACAATTGTGAAATGTCAAGTGTTGCATATGTTTTGCTTAGCGGACCCTAAAATAGTTTTTTTTTTATTTTTAATTAACAAACAACCCCTTCGTTTTTGAATTTAAGATATTGATTAAACTAAGGAATATTGTAGATTAAACCAATCCATATATATATATATATATATATATATATATATATACACACACACACACACATACATCTTAATAAGCATTTAGCCTCAAATGTTGAATATTAAGAGGTACAACCCTTAAAGAATGATTTACAACAAGTTTATGCAATTGCAAAATCTTATCCGCTGTTGACCATTGAAAAAGTCAAGATAGTTAGCTTAAATTAAGGAGACAATTGTTACATATCAATCCTCTGTCAAATAGACATTCAAAATTTTGAAAACAACTTGCTCTTTATCTTGATTTTCCCTGTGTCTCGACATTCTCCATATTTAGGCAATTGAATTGGTCAAAGATAAATACAATTTAACATATCCATTCCTATCATGTTCAACAACCTTCCCACTATGTTGCCTGTTATTTGCCATTTATATAACTATTCCCTTCTCTCAACCATTTCTCCTTCTCTCTAACCCTAATTAGCCGCGAGGCCACTCACCATCATCAAACCACTCCCTTCCAACTCCACGAACTCATACTATTCCATGACTAAACAGTTTGCACCACTCAAGACCATTGCACAATCAGTATTAGACCCACCTGAAATGTAACCTCCATCTCTCTTTGGCATTCACCATAATGATCTGGCCTTACAAGGCCGAAAACAGTGCCACCATCGCCAACACGAACTTCAATGCTTTTGGTTTTCTATGTGTATCTTGACACATTTTATGTACCGGTGTTTTGCAGGAACATAAACATACGTGATCTTGTTTTTGATTTACCGGAGGTTGTGTACATATATGGTATGTCAAGAAAAATAGGAACGATTTTGCTATTTAATTTTAGGTTTTTTTGATTTTGGATGTCTCCAACTAGAACTTGAATACTTTTGGGGTTTTATTTAAATCTTGACAGATTTTATGTGACTATGTTTCTAGGAACATGAGCATATCGGAGGTTGTTTTTGTTGATTGATCTATATGTTCATATTGTAGAAAGCAATGATTTTTTTGGTTTGAATGGGTGGGAGTGGAAATAATTTTCATTTCCAAACCTTGGGTATGTTCCAAATTTATATTTTTTATTCAGGGTTTTTATCCATTTGGGTGTATTTCAGATTTCAGATAGAGAAATTGTTTATTTTTCTTCCACCATAGGATCATTCACCACTCACCATGTTACTTCCCGGAAAAAAGAGCGACATCTACAAGGTTCGAAATCTAAATAAAATGAAATAATTGAATACCCTATTCTGGTTTTCCATCAATTCTTACTCATCCCCCCTATTTCATCTATTTATTCAAAATATGTTCTCATATATAACTTTTGTATATCATGATTGGCCAATGTGCATGATATTTGACTTTGATGGCATCCTTTTTGATCTTCAAGTACAACCCAAGAATAGAAGGTGGTGGAACTGGTTGGTTGCAATCTATCCGGAAAATGTTATGGTGAAACATTAAAATTGATGGAGGTAATGAATGAAAATACCTAGGAAGATATATCATTTTGTCATAATTTTTTCATATGATCTTTACTTCTGGTCTTTAGTGCTTTAGTTTTCCTACTGTTATAAGTTTTTAATATGGTTCTTGAGGGTTGATACATTTATTGAGTGAAATCACCTATGAACCAAAGATGTGTTTTAAAGTAATTACAGGCTTGAGTTCTATCTTTTTTTTTAATACCGATTTTCATTCTTTCTTGCTTCTCATGGTTCAACCGAAAGGGCTTTTTTTTAAGCATTTTTGACGGTGATCTTGCATAATCCAAGTCTCGATTTTGTAAGCTAATTAATTTGTTTTTATTACATCTGCAGGTACTTTTAGGACCAATTTTGGAGCATCGGATAGTCATTAAAGGTACTTTTAGTAGATAAATAAATATATAAAAGATTGGTCCACGAAAAGGTACTTTGATGTGAGGTAATATTTTATTAACTTATTCATATTTTTTAGTGATGAAGTAATTGGAGACCTATTGCTTGCAGGTGGCCTGTTTACAGAAAAGAAAAAGGGTGTCTCTGGTTTCCATGTAGGTAATGCTTACCCTATTAAAATGCTCCAAGCCTCCAAGTAACACTTTATAACCTTATTACCCTATTAGACTATTAAAAATGATCCAATTAATTGGTAACACCTTATCTCCTATTTTTCATTATTGCTACAACCATGCACCTGCTCCTTTATAGGAATTGCTTTTCATTTTTGCCACAACCAGTGGAGCTCACTAAAACTTGAACGAGTAAGTATTAGATTATTCGTCAGCCTTCAAATTAGTGGATTTTTTAAATTTTATGAAATTAAATAATAACTTATTTTAAATTCCAGGAAAAACTTTTTAAATCATATTGGATTTAAGCAGTATTGCTTTAACCAGTTGGTGATTTAAAATATATTGATGTGATTACAACCATAACAATGTGGTAACCGGTTAAAAGATAGCAGGTTAGATATTGCTATATTTAGGTAGGCTATTCAAAGATGCTGATTTGTGATTTTTTTAGGCTTTTCATTGTCCTATAAATGCCCCTGCTTTTAGAAACCATGTAAGGGTCTACCATCTGCAGCAACAATGAATACAAGAGTATGTTGGTCTTTTTGTAGTGGTTATACTAGCGTTAAGAAAAAATTAACATAAATAGATGAAACCAAGTAAAGGTCTACCTACTATCCCCTGCAGTTAGGGGTGAACACGGTGCGGTTCGGTGCGGTTATTAGCCAAAACCTCACCACTAACCGCAAATGCGGTTAATACATTTTCAAAACCGCATGGTGCAGTTATTTTTACGATGTGGTTAAGCGGTTATTTTTGCGGTGTGGTTTGTTTTTTCTGTGTTGCGGTTATTAACCGCATGGATTTGGTGCGGTTATTTTGTGTGGTTTTTAAGGATAGTTTAGAGCTCAAATAGTTTTAATAGTTCAAACATATTACTTGTAATAATAATAAAAACCATAAGATTTAAGACAATTAACTATTTAACTTAAACCATAAACAACTAATATCTTAAAAACGTTAAATCAATAGTATTTAACAATAAATATCTTAATATTGTGTAATTTCATCATTTTTTCAAAGTTAAACATAAGAAAAACCAACACTTTTGTCTTCTAGTATTTTATCCATTTTTCATTCATGAAATTTATCTTATTTTTAATATTTAATATTTAATAATTGATAATAAAAAGTTTTATATAATATATGCGGTGCGGTGCGGTTTTTTTGCAGTTTTTGGAAATTAATAACCGCACCGCACCGCAAATTTGCGGTTTTTGAAAAATATAAAACCTCACCATCGGTTTTTATTGCGGTTGCGGTTTATGCAGTTATTTTTAGTTCCGGTACGGTTTTTGCTCACCCCTACCTGCAGTAACAAAACAGGTAATGTAGATGTATAAGTAGGAAATGAGTTGTGTCCTTTTGAGAATGGTTTTACTAGGTTAGATTCACAATATGTTTGTCTTTGTATGTTATTCATGAAGCTCTGCATGCAATGTTTATTATTCACTATAAGAAATCTTGCTATAATTAAGGTGCTACTTTTTTCCCTATTACGTTTAGTGACTGGAAGTTAGAGATTCTTTTTTTTTTTTTTTTAAAGTAATGGTAGTGTTTTCTAATTTACTTGTTTCCATTATGATAAAATGAAGAATACAACAAGTAGTTACTTAGGTTACTACACGAATGTCTTTGTTTATTGCTTTGTTAGTTATGATGAGCAACAAGTTTTATTGCTTAATTATATTGAATATGTAAATTTTATACTTTTGTTAAAAGATTTGTCAGGTCTTTAAAAATGAAGGAAGAAAGAATCAATAAATATATTTTTAAAATGTACAAGATCTAGGGGTAATTCTGGTATTTCTCCCATGTTGGGACGAAATGTCAAAGTTTCTCAACAATCTCAAAGGGAATAATTTTCTTATAATTGCATTACCCTTTATGGTTCAATACCTACCATTATTTAACATGAAATCTATTACTGTCCCCTTCTGACATGATGTATGCTTTTGACCTTTTATACTATTATTTTATATTCAAACATTCATCATTTGCT